CCGAGGTCTGTGCACAGCAAGTGCCATGCCCTCACTGGGGCTGGGGTCCCTATGCTGTAGTGGACCCCCAATGAGGCCTCCTCCTTCCCCAAATAGCCTCACCCAAACCACTGGTGTTCATAGATTTCATAGACTAGACATCAGGGTTGGAAGGGACCTCGGAAGATCATTGAGTCAAGCCCCCCGCCCAAAGGGCAGCAAGTCAGGTGGGGTCATAGGATCCCAGCAAGATAAGCATCCAATTTGCTCTTGAAGGTGTTCAGTGTAGGTGCTTGAACTACTGCTGATGGCAGGCTGTTCCAGACCTTGGGGGCTCAGTCAGTAAAGAAGTTCTTCCTTATGCCCAGCCTAAAACAGTCTTGCAGTAGTTTATAACTGTTCAACCTCGTCATTCCTTGGGGCACTCTGGTGAACAAATGTTCCCCCAGATCCTGGTAGTCACCCCTAATAAACTTATAGGTGGCAATCAGATCACCCCTGAGCCTGTGCTTTTCCAGGCTAAAGAGCCCCATGGTTCTCAGCCTGTTGTCGTAAGGTGTGTTTTCCTGACTTCTGATCATGCGCATGGCTCTTCTCTGGACTCTCTCAAGCTTCTCCCCATCCATTTTGAATTGCAGAGCCCAAAACTGGACACGGTACTCCAGCTGCAGCCTCATCAAGGCCAAGTACAAAGGGAGAATGACATCCTGGGATTTGCTTGAGAAGCAAATATGGATGCAAGCCAGTGTTTTGGTCATCAGTCAGCAAACAAACAGCAATCAAATCTGAGCCCCAGGGCTATAACAGAACACAAAGTTTGGGGCATGCTCTGCCCCTTTAAAAGAGTAAAACTTCTTCTCTAATACTGGATACCTGTAGGCAAGGGTGCCTTATGAGCTCCTGGTGCCCCATCAGCACTAAAGATAGCATATTCAATAGTTATAGCAGCTCTAAACCCTTCCTTACCAAAGACTCCTTCCCCTTCAACTGCTAGCAGAGAACTAAACTACCCAGCCCCAGCCCTAGGGTTTATATGGGCCTAGGGCCCTGCCTGTTTGGCCAGCTAACCAGGTGCAGGTGCAGTCAATTCCTTCATTAGCCAGTTGTCATGACAACCTGCACCTGGGCTCTTATTTGGCCTCTGATCCCTCCCTGGGTAATCTCTGCTCTCAGAGCAGCAGGCACTTTAGTCTCCTGCAACATGTGTCATGAATCCAATGTCTATATTTAGTCCATGATTTTTCATATCTAGGAGGCTGATGAAATGAAGTTCATAGGCTTGTCTCTGAGAAGTGTTTTGTAAGTTTCCTTTGAGGATTAGAACTGAGAGATTGGAGAGAGAGTGGTTTTCTTGTGAGAAATGTGCCTTGATAGGTAATTGGGTACTCTTGTCTTTGATAGATTTCTGGTGTGTGTTTGTTCTGGTGCGCAGTTGTTGTTTGGTTTCTCCTGCATTTGGTGCATTGGATGAGATATATTACATTTCTGGAGGTGCTGCTGTAAGATGCAGGGATGCTGATGATCACTGACTGCCTACCTTGCATGTATACCAGCCCAGCCTCTGGCTTCTTTACGATTTATTCCACCCAGGAAGAGCACACACCAACTGCAGAGACTTTCTCAGTCTGACAAATGGTTTTTAAACCTGAAAGCTTGCTAATTTTTCCCCCCAACTATTTAAGTTGGTCTAATGAAAGATACCAGATTCACCCAAAGAACCTTATCTGCTTATGTCCTTAGGCCCACATGGCTACAACCCACACCCCTGTAACCAGTCACGCTAGCCTTTTTCCTGCGATTCTGCTGGCTCTTCACTGCTCCTAGTAATGGAGCTCCTATTCCACAGCCTTACAGACTGTTTTAAACTCATTTCAATGAAGTGATTTGTATTTTTGCATCAGTCTTGGAACTGAATCATTACAGCCCAGATATGAGTGAAGTTTCTAATTTATTGTTATTGGGAGAAAAACAGGCGTTGTTTCATATATGAAAATGTACCTCCCCCTTTTCAAAATTGTAGTCACCCATGGACAACAAGTGATACAGCCATTTAACATTTTTGAAAATGTTTCAAACTACCAGAAAACAAAAGAACAGCTCCTATAGTAACACCATGTGCACAGTCTGGAAAGCCCCTGAAGTTTAAGTACAAGCAAACCTATTTATTTTCAGAGTAGGTACAGGCTGAGCATTATACCACGCCTTACCTCTGCACCTGGTGTGACATGAAACTGTATTTCAGTTGTTCAAGAAGAAATGTCAAGCTTTTAAACACCGATGATCAAGTAATACAACTTCTACAGTGTCAATTATAAAGGCTACTGGCACTAGTTTTACAGCATTTATATTATTATACACTGTATTTCAGGCCTTTAGTGCAGAACAGCAGTTTAAATCAGCCTAGCTGCAAGTTGTAGTGTCTGTTGCCTAGCCATAAGGCCTAGAGTGAGTGTGAGAATAGGTTAAGTTTAGCTTGATTTACATAGAAGACACAAAACTGCTAATTCAGTTTATGAAAAGTGGGCTACGGTAAGAAGAAAAATCAAAATGAGCAGAACATGTCTGATTTGTGCTGGCTAACTCCAGTTATTAAGTACCACCCACAAAACTCTTATATCCCTAAGTATCCTCTGCCACTAGTTATCTGATGTAGATTTTTAAAGTAACTATAGAGCCATTGATTTTTATATTGGAGAAGGAGGAGGAACTCGGATAGTTGGAAAAGAAATACACTTTTTTGGAAAGTGGAATTAATTTTATTCTTGCATAGTTCAAGTCCCATGGTTTTGAAAATGTAAATCAATCTAATAAACTTTCCTTACATTCCAGTAACTGTTCACAAATGAACAGTAAGGAGAACTAAAGCATTGAATAACTCAGTAATGTGATAATGGGACAGTGAAGTAATAGGATATTGGAGCCTTTCATTTCCAAGGCACCACTTTAAATTTAGAATAAATTGTTATTGACTGAAAATTGTTAACATATGTTGGCTCTTCGGTTACCTATGTGAAACAATTTTATTTTTTCAGTTTGGTTTCCACTGGATAGATATACATAATATAAAATCACCACTACAGATGGCAGTCACTAAAATGTCTGTTAAAAGCCTCAGTGGAGAGACCAATCACTGAATATTTATGAAAATGAAACTAAACTAATCTCCTACTGTTAGAAAAGTTCCCTTTTGTACCATATGAAAATGGGGTAACCAGTTATTGAACTCTAATTAATTAATTAATCTAGAATTCCACCATCCAATTTTAACTACCAAGATAGCCTGCATAACCGTGTCCACATTATTCTTGGTAGTGTTAGCATGATGTTATGGCCATGATGGTCCAGGAACTATGAGTGAGGCAAGGATTTCTTAGCTTGATATCTGTTATTGGACCAACTGCATAGTTAGGATAGAGTTAGACAAGCTTTCAAATCCAAGACATTCCTCTCAGACCTAAAGGAGAATGCCTTGCATTCAAAAGCTTGTCTAGCTCTATCCCAACTATACAGTTGACCCAATAAAAGATATCACTCTAAGAAATCCTTGCCTTTTGTATATATTATTGATGTCCTTCAATAGACAGGTATTCATTATGAAATTAATTCTTCATTGCTTTGTGCTGCAAAGGAGAATCAGAATAGTTGCTTATTGAACACAATTTATGTATGACAGCTGTGCCCATTAAGCATGTGCTTTGCCTTTGACCACCCGGTCTTTCCATGGGCACTGTTTCCAAGTGACAGATCTGCATCTGTACTTATCTCAAGAGGCATTTCGCAATTCATCCCATTCTTAGACTGATTCTGTAAGTCACAGCACCTATTTTTACTAGATGTGCACTGATACATCAGTCTGATATTGGGTTGGCACCAATATAAAGAAAATTGACTGTATCAGAAATTGGCTTTTTTGCCTGATGTGGCCTATAATTTGGCTGATAAACGCCCTGTGCACGAACACAGCTGCAGCTCAGAACATAGGCAGGAAGCAGCACAGCGCAGTGAGCAGCTGCTTAGTCTGTGGGGAAAGGGGAAGGGGAAAGGGAAGGGGCATGGCCTGGCTAACCTGGTCGTGTATCAGAAATCGGATCAGTATTGGCCGATATGCTTCCTTAAAAATTGACTATTGGTATCGGCCTCAAAAATCTCTATCAGTGCGCCCCTAATTTTCACTCGTGTTTCCTCAGCAGGTCTAACTGGATTTTGGCCACTGTTAATAGCTTATCCTCCAAAAGCTGTAAATGGTATGAAAATACAGTGACAAAGAACTGCTTATTCAAAGCAGAGTGTCAAGGATTTTTGGAAGGCCCATAGCAAGTGCAGAGAGAAGGGTTAAAACAAATGGCTAAACCTACATAGTCTTACCTAAACCTTTGCCCTTGTTAATTTAAGCAAGTCCCACCCATCCCTCAGTGACTGCCAGTACCAGTCAGTGAGTCATAAATAAAAAAGAATATTTTCCAAAATATATTTTGAAAAGAGCAAACTCCAGAGTACAGGAGAAACAGGCGGGAGGTTGGGAGGGGGCACTGAAGCAGTCCTTTGCACAGTTGGGACAGGTAAAGGTGATGGTGGGTGATCAGCACACGGATGCCCGGCATGGTTATTATAGCAGGAATGAGAATGGACTGTCAAGTGAACCATATTGGTCACAAGACAGGCTGGCAGAGGTATAGGTGTGTGTATCTACAGACACACGCGTACATATATAGAAAAAAAATATTTTTGCAAAAAACCAAAAAAGCTGAAGGCTTGCACAAGCTGCAGCGCCGTGCCTCCGCGCAAACGGAAGGCTTCAGAGCGGCTGCGACTCTGCCAGCACGCTCATCCCAGCGACTCCCGCCCCCAGCAAAGCGCCCCACGCTGCGACGCGGGTGACGTTACACGTAGCAACGCCGCCAGGTGCAGCCCGGGCTCTGGCGGGAAGCGCGGCCGCCCTCAAGGCGCCTGCGCACCTACACGGCGCCTGCGCACTGGCCGCGAGCCGCTGCCGGCAGGAGCGCGGGGCACAGGGTGGCGGGCTGCAAGGACGGCTGAGGGCTCGCGGCACAGCCCCCCTCGGCATGGCTGGGTCGGAGCAGCCGCCGCCTCGCGAGGATGGGGAGGCGCCGCTACCCCTGGAGGACGCGGAGCTGGCGCTGGCCGGGATCAACATGCTGCTGAACAACGGCTTCCGCGAGTCCGACCAGCTCTTCAGGAAGTACAGGTGCTGCTCGCCCCTCTTCCTCCCCCCTTAATGGTTTGTTCCGCCCCGGGGGGTCGCCCCTAGGCGCTGAGCGGGCGCATTGGCTCGGTGGGGGGATGGCGGGGGGTTGGTGATGGTACGTTATATTTTCGCTGCGCTGTGTAGGGCGAACCAAACTGTTGGGGGGAGGGGAGCTGCTCTCCCTTCCCCCCCCCGCCCCCGCTTTAGTTGGCTGCTTAGGACGCCCATGGGCGCTGCCAGCTGATGGCGGGGAAGGGCCCTTTCGGAGCCCAGGCCCTGCTGCGGGTCTGCATGAGACATGAGACTTCCCTCCTGGCACCCAGTTTCCTGCATTACCAGTCTCAGCAGGTGCACTCCTGGGTGTTTTGTATGTACATACATGTGCATATATCCTTGTATGTATTTGGCTGCTCGTGTACTCAAATATGAATCCCCTCATCCCCCCCAGTTTGCGGGGGGGGGAATGTTAAGCATAGGATGCTGTTCTAGCATGTGTGGCTTCAGAGGGTGACTTCAGTCCTGCTCCCAAATAGCAGGGCATTTCTGCTTCCCTGCGGGGCCCTGTGTGCACCCCTGAAGAGTTCACATGTGCCCACCAAGGGGTTGAGGTGCTAAGGCACTGTGATGCTGCCTGTCCCCAAGAAGACTAAATGTGAAGGGTTTTATGGCCCTAGCAGTTTCTTTTGTTTTTTCTCTGCCTGTCAGTGTGTCCTTGGAAGTCGCTGTACAGGAGGGTGAGAGGTGGTGACTGGTGGCACATGGCAAGGGGTAGCTTGCCATGTTATTCTGAAGTTGGGCAGAAAGCAGGGTAGAGATGTGCTGTATAAATAGTTCTAAATGATAGGTGTCCCTGTTTGGAGCAGCGGGTTGGCTTAGATCAGCATTTCTCAACCCGTAGGTCAAAAGAATATATGAAAGGGTTGTGCACAAACATAAAATATGGATCAGCAAACTTTAAATGGGTTCTCCTGTAAAGGAGAGAAACATGGGAAACGGGGGCAGGTTGGCAGAGATACAGCCTGTGAGGGGCTGCTTGGGGGCTCCCTATTTCCCACACCTTTCTCCCCCCCCACCCCACACACTGAGGAACTGGGGCTTGTGGGCAGGGGGCAGTGGGTTGAGAGTGAGGGGCACTGAGTCAAGACTGGCCATCATTGTTTATAAATGGGTCTTGGTACAAAAAAGGTTGAGAACCACTGGCTTAGATGACCTCCTGAAGTCCGTGCCAGCCCTAATGTTCTCTGATTCTGTGAGTGGCAGCAGACAGTTGAATGCTACCATAATGAAGGCCGTAAGGGTAGTTAGATAGTATGTGCATTGCATTAGGTCTAGATGAGCGTTTTTCAACTGTTTTTAGACTTAAGGCAGACTTTGGAAAGTCTCAGCTTTCTCATTTTTTTTCACTACAGAAAAATAAGAGAGCCCTTCTTCCATTGCAGAGTATTCAAAAAGTCTACAGCAGGGCAGAATGCCTTTGGCACTGTGGATTCCTATTGGAAAACTCTGAGTTTATCTTGTGAATAATGTGTAGGTGTGTGCATACCTAACAGTGCTAATATTGCACAGTGCTTGGCATAGCCCTTAAAGGGCTCTTGCAGTACCCCAAGCTGCTGTAACAGCCTAGGTAAGAAGCACCAGTTTAGATTCATAAATGAAGAAGTTGCTTTGCAGAAATTATTCAAAAGTAGTAGCAGATGTTGTTCCTCTTTTGAAAACTTCTGTTGTCATGTGTGTTTGACATGTTGTCATATATTGTTCTGTGTTTCTTGCTTAACTGAGAAGAATGATTCCTTTAAGGGCAGCTTATAGAGCGAGTGAGCAAATGAATAAATAAATAATTAAATAAACGTGCCTGATGTGTGCTATACACTTTTCTAAATAATGCATGCATACTAGAGCACTTGTCTGTATACCAAAAATATTTGTTGAAGGCCTAAGTTGACTGAAACAATATGCTTGCAAGCATCCTTAATATTTCACTTGCAAAGTATAAAACTTGATATAAGGGGATAAGACTTACAAGCAAAGAAACTAAGACATTTCTAAGATGCACAAAGGGACAGTGACAAAGATAAATGTATGTTTCTTATTCCTAGCTGCTCATGTTTTGGTATGACCACTAAATGTGTTACTTTGCTGTTGGTGTGTAATTCTGGTAGTTATAATTAGCTGATACTTTTGAAGCTGAAGATTTGGGTCTGGATATTGTGTTCTTTGTACATCTAAACTCCATAATTCATGTCAATTAGCTTTCTAGCTCACTGGAATTGTAGGTGCTTGAAATTTGCAGGCCATAACCTATTTCTGAGATGTCTTTTGTGGTGGACTGTTACTGTGGTTTTGTCTTAGTGTGTGTGGTGCTGCTTTTAATTTGTCTTAATGTGAGAGCAATGTAGGAATTATAATTGTACACTGGTTGACATAGTATTTCTAAGATACAGAATTGCTGCAGTCATACATTTTAAATGTGTGTACACTTAGGTTGAGCATAAAGGCTATTAATAGCTGTATCTTCTGCAAACTGCAAATTTTGTTTACCTGGAACTTTTTTTATTTTTGAAGTCTTTTTTAATATCCAGCTTTTTTGGTAGTTTGACAGTTTTAAGGATCAGAGATGAAATAAAATTATATAGGTTATTTGTACGTACTGTATTTGCTATTAGCTTTTTTCATACTGCAATAGTCAGTGAATCTTAAACATTACTCCTCAAATACATTTCAATCTCCCCTTTCCCCCTCTTTAAAAGAAGGTGCCCTAGGATTCTGTGCAATAGTTAATCTTTGCATGTGAGCATTAACTGTAAGATGCTGATCAAATCTACTTAACCTGAAAATGGATTGAGTGGGCTTGTGATTCATAGCTTGATAATAACTGGCCTAATTGTAATTTTAAATTAGCTGTGGAAGTCCATAATTTTTAAATGTCATGTCCCTAAATAATTTGTTAAACTTAGTGATTGAAATGTCATTAAAGGTGAAAAAGGGATGGAATACCTAAGACTTCGAAGAACTATTGCTTTTGTTTAAACAACAAAGCAGTTTAGGTTTGATTAGGTATAACTTGTGTTTTAACTTTCTCAGTTATTTTTCTGCCATCTTAATCTTTCACTTGTTTGTACAGTATTACCTCATAAATACGGATATAAAAAATATGGAATTCTCCAAAATCCAGCACTTTTAAAAAAATGCACTACATTGGGGAGTAGTGGTGGCCAGTCCTGGAGCAGTGGAGGGAGAAGCTTACGTACAGTGCCTGCCGCTACCATCCACCAGCCCTTGCCACCACTCTGCATGTGGCTTCTGCTCCGGTTTAAAAAATTCTAGAATTTTCAAATTTATGGCAGGTGCTTGGTTTCAAGCATGCTGGATTTATGAGGTTGTATGGCATTACTAGTACATATGCTCTTATTTCAATCCTTGTAAGAAACATTATCATATACTGCTTTATAGCTTTTTGTCATTGACACGCATTTTTTGTCCTTGTATGCCTAAATATATGGTCTTAGAAATAGTCTCTTCTAAATGGGATAGCTGGACCAAACAATAGCATCTCCCAGTAGCTGTATTGAGAGTTGTTGTTCATTTGATTTAAAGTTGAATATTTATTTAATCATTGACACAGAAGGTAGTCTAGAAAATGGTGCTTTTAATTTGGTACAGACATGTAAAGGCTCCTTTTAAAAAGGCGAGAAATACTACTTTCCCACTTAGATATCTGTTCACAATACATGAAAAAAAGTTTGATTGTGAGAAAAATACAAGGCAGTACTTTTCAAACTATGGCTCTCAGTAAACTTTTTCTCATGTCTACTTATAGTCCAGAGGAAGCAGTTGAACTTGCTATTATGTATGTCAAGTCATGCAAATAATTGCAGCTGGAATTGATTGGTTTTGTATGCTGTTTTGTCAGGGTAAAATTTGTGACTTGCCCCATTTTCAAGAACAGCTAACAGATGAACATAATCAGAGCTTGAAAAAACCTCTGCTGTCAGCAAGTTTGTAGCTGTCTTGTGTAAGTACCGTTGACTTCTGCAGCGGCCTTATTAAATAAGCTTAGATTCTAGCCCTAGTCATTGCAGTGACAGCCGTTGAAATGGGAACCAAATATAACCCGATGAAGTATTTTTCTAAGTTTGGAACTGACAGCTCCAGGGTCTGTGGTGCTTGTAAGCTTTGTTGGGTTGCCACAGAATTAAATTTACTCAAATTTCTCTGTTGCTATTCAAATCCATTTGAACATCACTGAAAGTAACAAAATCGATTAATGCTACTCTCCTTGTTTCTTGTCGCTTTTGTTAGTGCAAATGGAAATAGACCTGGGATTTAGTCATCAGAAAGGGTGCAGAGCGGAGACTGAGGTGGGATAGGGTAAAAGGGTACAGATGATGTTCTCCCTTTCCTTCCTGAGTCCACTAACTAGAATTCAGAAATGGCATCTGATGACACACAAGAGAGAGCCTTGCAGGGAAGCACTTGGATGTGGAGAAGCTTGAGAGAGTCCAGAGGAGAGCCATGCACATGATCAGAGGTCAGAAGAATAGCCTTATGATGAGAGGCTGAGAGCCATGGGACTCTTCAGCCTGGAAAAGCGTAGACTCAGGAGGGACCTGGTGGCTGCCTATAAGTACATCAGGGGTGTACATCAGGATCTGGGGGAACATCCCCAAGGGATGACAAGGTCCAACGGTCACAAACTCCTCCAAGAGTGTTTTAGGCTGGACATAAGGAAAAACTTCTTTACTGTCTGAGCCCCCAAGGCCTGGACTAGGCTCCCTCCAGAGGTGGTGCAAGCACCTACTCTGGACTACTTTAAGAAGCGTTTGGCTGCTTATTTTGCAGGGATCCTCTGACCCTAGCTGACTTCATGCCTTTGGGGCAGGGGGCTGGACTCGATGATCTCCCAAGGTCCCTTCCAACCCTAATGTCTGAAATCTATGAAATCTGAAATCAATAGAAATCCAGCACCCTTTCCTTTCCCAGGCTCAGAGACATCTGAGTTT